TCCTCTGATGCTGCTTGGCCTGCTGTGTTCATCCAGCTCTACACCTTATTATCTCAGATTCTCCAGCATCTGCAGTTCCTACTATCTCTAAGTATCTGGTTAGACTGCCTGTGAGCAGTTCTGGGAACCAGACCCTAAGAAGTAAACATTATCCTGGAGGGAGGAGGCCTTTCTGCTCCTATGATGCTGCTTGGCCTGCTGTGTTCATCCAGCCCTGCACCTTGTCTCTCATTGTCCTGGAGGGAGTTCAGTTAAGAAGTTTATTAGAATGAGTTGGGCTTAAATGGCCTCCTGTTATGCCTGTACTCCCATGCAATCTAAATTTAGCCCTCCCTTCACTCTGGAGGACTTGTGTCTTGATGTTTAGGTCAGAGACTCTGGTAAGAGCACAGCACGAGTGCATTTGTTTTCCATTTTGGCTGATCACTTAGGATGTAAAGTTGTGCAAAATCCTTTAATGCGACAGCTGTTCAGTTTAAGTCTCCAATAAGGATGTAGTCCTTCACAAACAAACATTTGCAGTGAGTTATTAAAATTCATTTTCTCTTCCTGCAAGATAATCATCAAGCTTAGATAATGTATCTGCTTGGAGAGAGGTTGTGTGTGAGATATTTAATTTTTCCACGTGGCTCGAATTTTTATTTCAGAGTAGATGATTGCTAATCTCAAATCTTTAGTTACAAAAATAATTATTTTTCTCCTCGTAGCCATTTAAGTAATGGTTGAAGTTTTCCATCAGCAAATTGTTACGGAGCTGCCACTCATTCTTCACATGGAAATATGTTAGTGAATAAACATCAAGTTAGGAGTCTCTAATGTTGTCTTAAATTTCTGTTGAGCTGTGTTTAATACACAGGTGTAATTTTTGAATGATTACAGGAAGTTATTAACGATGGAGATTTTCAAGGAGAATAGATTCCATATATTGCTGGGCTCAGAATTAAAATGCAGAAACTAACGTGAAGTTGTTAATCTGCCAATTTAAGAAAGTATAATGTGTTTCCCCATGTTGAGAATTTGTTGTCAGCTGCATTGTGCATTAATTCTTATTGCATTTTGTTTTTAAATATCATCAAGAATTATAATTTTAGAAAAACTGGAAATGGTGAGACTGTAAAATTCACTCTCTGAAGATAATTCGTTGGAACAGCAATTTCTTCAGAAAGTAGGCAGCCTGAAGGTTGTGCAAATGGTTGCTGTGACAACAGCATGTCCTAGGTCCTGTATTTTATGTAAATACAAATGCAAGAGCACTTTTTTTTTAAACTGCACACACAAGAAGCACTGTGTGTAATAGCATAGTACAGTAATGATGTTTAAATGCATTCAGTGAGGCTGTCTCCAGTGATCCAAGAAATTAATGTTTGCTTGAAATTCATGGTGATGCTATGTATTAAAAATATAGAGTAAGGAAAGTGAAACAGTTTGAGATTGGGTAATATGTAAATCTGCATGTAGATATAATTGTGTTTAGAAATAGTAGCAATGAGAAAGCATTTGTACCCACATCATACAGGAGTCTCAGAAGTCTGAGGTTCAGTATTATCATTCTCATTGTATAGAATTTGAACTGCAGCAATCTGGAAACCAGACAATTTAGGTGGGCTATGGGCATTACTTATGTTGCTGAAAATGTTCTGTCATTCCAATTAATGTAGCTTGAGTTTGGATAGTTTGTGCAGCAGAGATGGAATTTCAGATATAATTATTTTTCCGCTTGTGGGGTAGTTAGTTGTAGTCTGTGCACGTCGATCCTTTGTACATTTCAACTGAGTCAGGCATTGACAGTGTCAAGAACATTCTTGAACAGCTAAGCACTTTGAAACAGGCTGAGCAAAAGACTGCGGGACCATATTGAATAGGAATTTTCTTTTCAATTGTGGTCTTGTAGTGCACCCCTATTTGTGTGTCTGCCAAAGTTTAACTCTTCAAATGCTTACTCTCTTTCATCTTCTAGTATACTTTCCTTTCTATGTAGACAGGCAACACAGGCATAGTGCAGAAGTAGCTTTACAACTAATTACTGTTTGGTGTCTTGAGGCTCATTTACCTTTTGGATAACTGCCTGCATAACTTGGAGGAAACAAAGCTACTGGTGTACAAGAAATTTCAAATTAACTATGCCACTAAAATTATAGAAGCGAAATACTGCAAATGCTGGAAATCTGAAACAAACAGAGAATGGAAGAGAAACTTAGTAAGTCTGGCAGCAACATCTTGAGTTTGATATGACTCTTGTCCAGAACTCGCGTTTTACCAAACTCTAAATGTTAACTTTGCTTTCTCTCCACAGATGCTGCCAGACCTGCTGAGATTCTCCAAAATTCTGCTTTCTATTTAATCATTCACATTCTGGCTTGAAAAGTAACAATAACCAGGTTACATCTCTCTCCACTGAGAATGAACAATGGTATTGTTACTTCTCTGCATGCCTACTATTTAATAGTCATGGCAGTTGGCCCATCCATTGGTTAGAGATCTAGTAACAGCTGTCAGGATTAACTTCCTTTCATGCAGTCTGGCTGCCACTCAAGTTTCCAGCTACTGCATGTGGAATTTCCCAGCACAGTTTCTATGGTGCCACATCTCTCGGCGTGTCAGTACGCCTTTGAGAGATTCTCATGATGTATATCGCTCATTATAGAATGTAATCTGAATGCTTAAAGGTCTCCATTCATCTTTCCCTGGATCACTTGAAGCACGGCATCCTCTTGGAAACATGCTCCTCTGTTGTAACGTTATTCTTTATTAGCTCAGATATGTAAGTGCTTGAGAAATGTAATGTTTGTGCATAAGTTCATTGTAATAAACATCGGGGGTTTTCAGCACCATTTAATCCACACCAAATCTTATTTATGTTACAGAAGGTAACTTAAGCATTTTCGCATCATGGAAAATACCTTGGTGGAGGCAAGCTCATACCCCATTACGGGGGCCTCCCAGCCCAATTCCATTGTGGGGTGTGGTGGATATTAAATTCACACAACATGAGTGTTTTGTTATATATAAATGAATGAGAGCTGTTGCAAATCATAATCTGATGTAAGGAATAGAACAAATCTCCAATTTTTTAAAATTTAAACCAACCTTTGCCTTGTTTTCAAAATAGCAGTGTTTGTGTTGAAATTTTGTTTAGTCATGAATACCCTGTGAACAAATGATTGGATATGTTGCTGAAATTCAGTGCAAACAGGCAAAAAAACCACATTGCTCAGATTGCTTTAAATCTATTTGTACGTCATATATTGCTCAAATTTGAAATAAGAAATTAAATCAAGGACTTGGACCAAGAGATTTGTGTTCTGTACCTACTTTAATACCTTAACTTGCTTGGAGAAAAGTAACAAAGTATGACACAAAACGCTAGAATGGCAGCACTAGTCACAAACCAAAAAATGTTTAAAGTGAAATATTTGATGCTTGAAATAGCCAACTTAGACGTACACCCTAGAACAAAGTTTGAAAATTATGTGGTTTCAGCTTATTGACACACATTTGTTTTCATCCTGCCTCCATTGTACAACTCTTATCTTAATGCTTGGCTATCACCTTCCCTATACTGCTGTGCAAATAGGTCAAGGGACACATGTTTTGCTGGTCCGAAAGATTCAGCAAATAAGCAGTGGCGTCAGCTAAATTGTACTTTGACAGATTTAAGCTTGCAGCGTCCTGGGAATTTGCCATTTGTAATCATTTCAGTATTTAAAACTACAGAACAAGGCTAAAAGTTATAGATAACTTCAAAGAAATCATAGAATGGTTGTAGCAAAAAAAATGCCATTTTGTTTGTCAGTACTAGCTTTCTGCAAGAGCAACTCACCTTGCCCCACACCTGCATTTGTTCTGTAGGGTTGAAATTTGTTCTTTTAGATAACTGACCATTTTCTTTTTGAAAGCCATCATTGATTCTGCCTCCATCACAGATTTGGGTAGATTCTAGATATTGACCACTTTCTTCATAAAAACATTTTCCTCATGTCATGGTTGTTTCCCTTGCCAATCGAAAAGCTTTAATCACATGGTACTGGACTAAATTTTATTCCTACATACATTTCTACTCAAATAGGATATCTTGCATCACTATCTAAATAGTTTTAAAATTTTTTTAGAAAGTGAAAACTTTATTGTGGTTATTCTAAATTCTTGTATGCATTTATGTTGTAGGTTGCAGTTTAATATTATCCAAAAATTCTTCTCCCCACTAACCTCCTATCCATTCAAACTTCAGTAACAACAATGAAAGGCCAGCTCACCTTGTTGTTACTTTTCAGCATCCCAAAATGACGACTGTTTCAGAGTTGGAAGAGGTAATCCAGCAGCTTCGGCAGCAGCTGCAGGAATCGGAAAGTGAGAGGATGAAGGCAGCTCAATACGGGCTAGAGCTGCTGAAAAATGAAGCTGAACTGGACAACAAATTGACAGAAATAACGAATGAATTTGCTACTGTCCGAGAGGTAAATGTATAGAAATTGCTTTACACAATAAACCACTAATTGAATGGGGATGTGATTCTTGAAATGCAGCAATAGTATTGTGTAACTTCAGGCTTACTTCTATCAGGAAAGCATTTTCTCCTGGTTGCATATCCACAACCTGATTTGGACCAATGCTACTTGAACAAATAACTGGAAAAGAAGAACATCTTATTGTTTTTGTCACCTATTTTCCCTGCCTCCTTCGCTTACCCACCTTTGAATTGTATAATGTGAGACCACTTTAAAATGTTCTTCTAACTGAATTTTGATAAATTATTCTTAAGAGGGGGAAATTAATGAAAGTTGTTAGCATGTATACCTCTGGAACATTGCATTGATCTATTGTCAAAACATCAACTTGTTTTTATGGAATAATAAAACCATATACTTTCTCATTTTTAATTTTCTTTTGATATTTAAATAGCACTTGGAACAGGAAAAATATTCACTACAAAGAGAAGTGGAACTCAAGAATCGTATGTTGGACAGTATGAGTTCAGATATTGAGAGCATCAAACAGCAACATAAAACTCAGTTGAACCAACAACTGGAACAGCTAGAGAGAGTTCATACTCGTGAAATTAATGAACTGAAGAGCAAGGTATGCCATAATTCTAACAAACGATGAAAAAGTTGACTCCAATGAAGAATTGTCAACCTGAAATTTTAATACACTCCATAGATAACTGCCTGATCTGATTGAGTTTTTTCGCCATGTTTTTGTTCTGATTTACAGCATCTACAGTATTTTGCTTTTATAGTAGCTGGATTATTCTTTTGACATGACTTTTCAGACATCTTTTAGGACTTGTTAAAACAAAAGCATGGAACACAGTCTAATACTTGAGTGACTCTGAAAACCTTGCTTACCTCTTGGTTTCACAACTGGGTCTGCTGCAAAAGTAGTTGGCTACGTAATATTGAAAAGGCAAGTTTCAATTTCTTAAATAAAGAGCATCTAAGATGTTACTAAAATTAAGTCCAGTTTTGGGAATCTTGAGATCTTTCTAACATTTCAGTCCTTAATTCTTGAAATCAGAGGTCTTTTATTTCAAAAATATTTATATGTGAAATACACATGGGTCTATGTGACTGAGAGATAAAGAAGTTTTTCAAGGTCAGTTAAATATTGGAAGGTGCATATAACTTGCTCCAAGGGTAATAGGCTACTTAATTTACACCCTGCCCAATTCAAATTTCACAGGTGGATCAAGGAAGAGGCTGGTCCACTAGTTTTGTTTTAAGACTATGGTTGGAAAGGAGGGCCTTTGATAGGGCAGTAGTGCAACAGATTAAGAGCAATCTCAGTTATGAGTCTTTAGGAGGTTAATATCATTTGAGATTCTTCCAATTATGACAGAGTGGCTGCTAGGAAGAAGAGATGTCTGAGAGAGTTATACAAAATAATCATGATTCCGGCTCCCTTGGTGGGGGAGAAAGTGGGGTATTTTATAATGAAATACTTCGAGCGACTAGGATACTTTGATTTTTAAATGAAATTGCACTGTTCCATTTCCCATGATGGTAAATTGTGGTCAACTAGTTACCTTCCATTTCATAATTTAAATTACCAGAATGATCCTTGAATAGTGTGCATAACACTTTTTTTAACCGCTTTCTCATCTATGTATCTTGGTTTATTACTAGTTGGAAAAGCTAAAATCTGAGCTGGACGAGGCACAGCTCTGTGAGAAGCAGTTGAGACATAAACTGGATCGACAGAGTGAATTACTTAATGCGAAGAGTGAAGAATTGAGGAACTTATCTGAGCGTGCACAGGAAACAATGTCATCTGAGGTGATGAGCCTTCAAATGGAGAACATTGAACTTGAAACTGCAAAGGTATAGAATTGGCACTTTCTTTCATTTAATTACTTATTTTATTGTCACTTGTCTAGTTCACATGTAAACATTTTATGGTGGTTTTCCTAATTGTCATGGCTACCCAAAGCACTTCACCATAGATTGAACAGCAAATCATTCCTGTTCTCACTCTTGCCACGTCTAATGTGCCTGACTGGCAGAAATTGTATCCATTTCTGTCAGTACAAATGGTGCATGATGATCTAAAATGTACACAGTTGTAGACCATCCATGTCTACAGCTGCAGAAAAACTTTCTACACATGTATTTACAAGGAAAGAGTAAAAGTAGGCCATTCAGTAATATAATGCTTAGACTGACTAAAATCTCAAATTCGCACCCATTTCAGAAAGAGAGTTCCAAAAATGTTGAAGCTTCAGCAGGGGGTGAAAAAAACTCCTCTCTGTTTAAATAGGTGTCCACTAATTAAAAATTAGGGATCTCTAGCTTTAAATTTTCCCATAAGAGGAAACTTTCACAATTATTTTATCAAGACCCTCAGGATCTTATTCATTTCAAAAAAGGCAGCTCTTGCTTTCTAAATGCCAGATACAAGCCTGCCTGTCCAACCTTTTCTTCATAAGACAACCCCCTCCCCTGCAAAAATATCCAGGCATTAGTCTAGTAAACCTCCTCTGATTAGCTTCCAACTCATTACATCCTTCCTTAAGTTTATGCACAGTACTCCAGAGATGATCTTAACAGTGCCCTGTATAACTGACGTATTACCTCCTTATTTTGTATTCAGTTCCCTATTTGGTTTCTTAATTACTTACTGTACCTGCATAATGATCTTCAGTTTATATACATGAATACCCAGCTCTTTCTTCATCATAGAGTCCTGAAATCTCTCTCCATTTGGATAATATGCTACCTGTTATTCTTTCTGCTGAAATGGACAACTTCTGTCTCCCATGTTGTATTTCATTTACTACAACCATGCCTACTCGCTTAACCTTGTGTCCACTCAAAACTTAACTTTGCGTCATCAGCAAATTTGGAAATCGTACCTTGCACCCCTTCATCAAAGTCATAAGTTATGAAAAGTTGATGTACTAGCTCCAATCCCTTTACTCCTTCTATTCACAAATGTATTCTTGCCATGTATTTGGTAGTGTTAATACTTAATTCGAATTAGAGCAATAATGGGGAAGACTCTTTGAAATCTTTAAATTTTACAACACTTTTAAACTGATGTATTAATTTACAGTCATCAACTTACCTACTAAAAATGCACAGTTTTGCATAATATTCAAGGAAACAGAGATAAATCTATTTGACAGTTCAGTCCAGAAATGTCCCAGCTTTAATCCCTATCTGATAAGTTAGCTGTCTCAATCAGATAGTGATGGGGAGACTGCATTTAACTTTAGTGATCCTGATTAGGACATTTACAAAGCCAGATTGGCATTTGTTGTATGCAGAAAGTGTCCATCTGTGAATATCAGGTGGGATGTGATGGGGCTCAGTTGTGGGAAATGGTCTGCATCACTCAAATCTCTTGCATAGGTTGAAGGCCTACTCTAATGATGTTCTGGAAACTTACCACAACAGATGTTGACTACTTTCTGGGTGAAGTCCAAAGAGGAGGGTAGAAAAAGTCCAACAAAACAGAGGAGATTATTGTTTAGCATTACAATATTTTAAACTGCGAATGAGCATATCAAGTAGTTTCCATCATTATTGTATTAAATTGAAACCATGTTGTTTGGAAGATTTATTTTCCCTCTAAAAGGTTTAATGTGTTATAGCTTTTTTAATCTCCATGTTAAAGTTTGAATTTGACCTTCCAAATCTCTTAATTGTGCAACTGGCTGCTCTCTAACCCACCCTATGAGAAGCGCATGATATGTGTTTAACATCCATTAATAAAAACAAAGTTAATACTGTTCTTGATGCAACCTGCATTGTACCATTGTTAAACAGTGTTCTGCAATATATTTTTTGGCTCTAAATCACAGTTTAAATTACTGTTGTAAAATTCTGACTTCTGACGATGCATTATCTCTCATTCAGGGGAAACTGCAAGAAGACATTAATGAAATGATGTACCATCAGGAACAGTTGGAACTAGCTAATAATAAGCTTCAACGCCAGGTCGAACGACTTCAAGAGGAGAAGGAGGAACAAGAGAAAGAGACAGTATCATATTGCAATGCGTTGGAGGTGGCCACATTTATTTGCGTTTCCAAAACTGATTATACTTCTAGACTGAAAGACATTGAGATTGGACTGATTCCAAAACTGGCTGTAATCCAATCTCTGACACACTGTTAACACTGTGTGTAACCCAACTAAATTGCTAATGTCTAATTAATGCAAAAGTTAAGCAGTCTGACCTGGGGTCTTTTTCATAGGTTCACTAATTCAGGTTCACATTGAAGGCACTGAATATGTCTCAGACAGGTGTTCTAAGCCAAAAGTGTTTCATTTTATCAGCAAATGAATCATAATTTAAAGTATATATACAGAAGAGATGCTCATAATGAAGCATGGAATGTAAGAGGATATCTCAATCTAGTTTCAAGTTGCAGTGCGATCTTGTGTGCAATCCCATTGGTTTATTATATACTATTTGAATCTGATAGCTGCTCACCGTAATATATTTACCAGATCTGACCTGGCAACTGCAGTTATAGTCTGTCTCACTGAATTCTACCCTACTTTGTGGTGTGGCGTGGAATTTGATCTTTGTTTCTGATCATTTGCCAATTAGACAGTTTTAGTATGGGTAGGTGCAAATAGTATAATTGCATTTGTCCTTGTAGAAGACTTTGCATAGCACCATCCTTTCTTGATCTCTGTATCAATTCTAAATTGTTTTTGTTCCTTCTATATCAAAGATGCGTTACATTGAAAAATCTTAAAGAACTCAATCTATAGCAAAAATATTATACGCACTTTTCATAGTTGAAATGCTGTGAAATCTGTGTTTTCGCTCAAGGCCCCTTTGATTTCCTTTGTAATGTGGAAGGAGGGTTTTGAATGTGTTGAACCTTTGAACCATAAATTATCTTCGATTACATGTGAACGGGTGCTTGTTGGTATTCTTTTTTATAGCATACAAGTGTTTTTAATTTACCTTTAAATCTAGCAACTAAATTTAACATACATAATACTGGAGTAGCTAATAACAGTTTGTTTTCAGTGGACAAGAACATGTTCATCTTTTTTCTACAAAGAGACTAACAACAACAATGATATCAGTAATCCGAGGCTTGTCACAACCTTCTTGTTTAATGTTTTCTTTTATTCTTCATAAATTAAAGATCCCTGTTTAAGCTTTTTGTACCTTTTGTAAGATTATTTTCAATCATTGAAAGAGGCATGACTTGGCTAAGCTGTGTGGAATTAATCCTCTTGATAATCTTGATTAATGTAGCTAAATTAGTAGAAGTATTGGGCGTATAAAGATTATCATTGATTCCTGGGCAATTCAGAATTTTTGTAGTTGATTTTAAATTTCTTAAATGCAGAAAGCACGAGTGGCTAACCAGGATCTCCAGATCCAATTGGATCAGGCATTACAGGAAGCTCGTGACCCCAACAGTAAAGGAAACTCACTGTTTTCTGAGGTAGTGTATTTTGTATATTGTGATTGTGAACAGCTTTTTAACTATTTGTAAATGTTTCCTCCATATGAACCAGATAGTATAGACCCAGCTTAAAAATCATTACATTCTGCAGTAAACGTTATGTTGAATTTCTATTAATCTATGCATACATTCGTTTGCAGTATATCGTTCCCTTGCCTGGAAGCTCGTTAGACAACCTCCTTCCAGGCTTTGAGCAGTTCTGCTCATCTCAGAACACAATTGAAAATGTTTTGAATTACGTAGAAATAAATTGTGTGTACTTGAATGATGTTAAATTAGTTGGGAGAGCAGGTTGAACTATGTATTACCCAGACAATTGAAATACAGAATGTTCTGAAAAGATTCTCAACTAAGCAATAGTTTTCTTTCTGTTTTAGGTGGAAGATCGTAGGGCAATGATGGAGCGACAGCTTATCGGATTGCGAGTCCAGTACCAGTCGCTGCAGAAACAGCATGCATTCTCCCGTCAACAACTTCACCGAATGAAGGTGCTGCTTCCATAAGGCACTTCTGGAGCCTTATGGTTCCCTGTATCTGTTATGTATAACTATATATGTATGTTATAATTTATATTATGTACATTGATTATTTTTAATATCTGTATTATATATCAGCTGAGTTTAATGAAATGCTCCCTGAATTATGGATATAAGCTGATGTGTTGCAATTTATGTTTCTGCAAGTCATTCTGGTCCATGTTAGCAAATATTACTTTTATGAAGATAACATTCACGTGTTCATGAGTCTGTCAGATAAAGTACAACATTTTGGAAAAATGCTTTCTATCCTTACTAAGTACAGAACTAAGATACTTTGGACTGCTACATCGCGTCTTTTAGGGAAGGCCTATCAAATTAATTGCATCTCAAGCATTTAACTGGACCATAGCAGGCCTGCCCTAGCTCTTCTGAACAACAGCATCACTAGAGAGGAAGAGGTTGTTGGTGGTACTACATCTTCTTGAGGGCTAGGATAGCTTGCTCAATAAATAAATAGTTAGCAACAGTATTTTGGGGTGCTTTAATTTGTTCCTAGAAATACTAGCTTCACACCATTTTTTCTGTCTCCTGCAAGGGTGAAAGGCTTAAAGCTTCACAGGTCTCCAATAGCATATGCTTTGCTTTCAATCTTGGATTAGTTTTTGAATAAAAGTCTTAAGGCAACAATTGCAATAAATCCTGAAAGGCTTAATGTCTACCTGGCTCTAATATAATTTTGTATTTTTATTACTAGGTGCAGATAGCCACAATGTTACAAATAAAGGGTTTGCAGTCTGATCCTGGACAACTTGAACGCCTGCAATCAATGCTTGCACAAAAGAACAATGAAATTCAAGCTCTGGTGGTCAAACTGCGACGTTTAGAGAAAATGGAGGTAAATAAAACTAAATTCCGTATAGTAGGAGCTTAGGCCTCCTCCTTCACGGTGGCTCAGTGGTTAGCACTGCTGCCTCACAGCGCCAGGGACTCTGTTTGATTCCTCCCTCGGGTGACTGTCCATGTGCAGTTTGCACATTCTCCCCGTGTCTGCGTGGGTTTCCTCTGGGTGCTCCGGTTTCCTCCCACAGTCCAAAGGTGTGCAGGCTAGGTGGATTGGCCATGCTAAATTGCCCGTAGTGTCCAGGGATGTGTAGATTAGGTGGGTTATAGGGGGATGGGTCTGGTTGAGATGCTCTGAGGATCGGTGTGGACTTGTTGGGCCAAAGGGCCTGTTTCCACACTGTAGGGATTCTATGATTCACTATCTTCTGTTTCTCCTGTAAGACAAATTAATAGTCAGAGGTTTCAAATGGGCGGAAAAGGTACCAGTTGGATGACTAGGTGAAATGTCTGTACTCATTCACCGTCCAACCATAGTAGTAATTTAAGGACAACGTAAATGATTAGAAGATCGGTCAAGATAGCGCCGGCATGGTAGTTAGTGTTTGGGCTCACCTGAGCCTGTCTGCTCCAGGCCAGCGGCATCATTTTCTCCACGTAGTTTTCATCTTTCTTTCTTTTTCTTCTTCCATGCTTTTTCGAGATTTTAACAAGTTGTTGTCAAAATTATTAAGGAACCAGAATATTTTCTTCCTTTCCCCAGCTGGGAGAATTAGTAGTTAGATGTATCCCTGTAGTTTGCTAAAGGAGTTTTGACTTTTGCTTTGAAGGAAAACACTTATTGACATCGGTAGTTCAATTGAGATTGGGAATTTCTCAGTACACATCCCATGACAATGGTTATCCAAGTTATACAACTTCAATGCCCTCTTCAATATGATCTAGATTCACCTATTGTCTTTACTTCTCTTTTTAGATGAATTATGATGCCGGGGATAATCCTAATGGTGTTGATGCTTCAGATTTTGGAGATGGACAGTACTACGTTGAATTGCTAAAACTGCAAATTGACAATGCCAAGTATGTATCAGATTAAATTGTGAACAATGATTGCAAACTTTGTAGCCGTGAGATCGAGAAAGTAGTTTCATCAGGAACTAGCTTTAGGTTTGACTGTATTGATGGTTCTCCTGGGATCAGGAAAATGAATGTTTGCGGAATGTAGATTTGTGTTACATTGGTAGACCAGAACCATAATCAGAAAGTGAGGTCCATTCTCCTCAAGTAAAGTCATTTGGCAAATATATGGAGGATCTCTAATACTTCCTGCACAGACATTTCTGAATTCTGTTAATGAATATTGCCTTAACCAGAGGGACATTCTGGTACAGTTGTACTCAACACTCATGTTAAATCTATTATTTCCTCACAAGTTCCCTCAGGAATGTAGTTACAAAGATACTTTGCAGATCCATCTGCTGGTGCCCTGTTTAATAGGCCATTATGTATTTGTAATCCTCAATAATGAGTGCTGGCCAACCATCTATCGTGGAGAATATCAAAGCTGAGCTGATCCTGTCCCAGCTTGGAGATTGAACCAGTTTTGTTTTGCACTGTTCAATAGGTTCCTGTTTCTAGATGCAAATTGAATAACAAAGAAAGATTAATGGCAGATTACTTGCCATAGCTCCTCTTTGTTCTTAAAATGTATTCATCTTCAACACAAAAGGCTGCCTTAGAGCCTGTTGGTTGAATAGTAATGTGCTTACTCTTTTTTTTTAAACATAATTAAACATTTATCTGCAATAGATATTTTTATTTAATCAAACATAACTCTTGTATCACTGATGTGCTATTTTGTGCTGGCTCTACCTGTGTACTTCCACCTACTTCCAACTATAATTTATTTTCTGAACTCTTCCTTTCCCTCTGCTATTAGCCTGTATCTGGTGTAACTGTTGAACTGTTCACTTGAATATTGGTAGGTTAGGAGTTGAAGTAAAAACATTTTTTTTGAGGAATAAGTTATTTTATATTAAAAAAAAATGCTCTTAAATTTATCATATAATTTTTAAATAGGCAGGTCATTGATTGCCATGGTTATAATGGAACTTTCCTTTACACTAGGAAAGAAAATAAGACTGTTAATGATGAACTGTCTTTGCAACGCATGAAGGCTCTTGCAGAGAGTCAACGTGTCTTAGAAGTTGAACGTAAATTTTATGCCAATGAGAGACAGCTGAAACAATATCAGAGTGAAAACATGAAACTTCGAATCAAACTGGATGAGTTGAGGCTCAAGTATGAACCTGAAGGTATCTATGCCAGCTTGTGATTCATCTAAGTTTTGAAAACCCAGCCTTATTTGTTTATCCCAGCTACCAGTATTTGTGTATTGTATGAGTATTTGACTTAAATTTGCCAGTGCCTCATCCTTCTGCATAGCTTGGCATAAATTTATTTTACTGTAGCTGATGTGGGTGATTGTCTATCTGTGAAACATGTTGCCCTGTTTACTTGAAACCAACAGTACAAAGGTGACATTTTAACTTTAAATTTTCTGAACTGGTTCAATGCCAGTTTCTGACAGTATGAAAGTAGTAGCATCTTTGCTAAACATGTAACTTTGCAGCTAGTGGGAAAATTGCTTTGCTGCATATTGGAGAAGCACTTGCCTAGCACTCTCAATGAACCACTTTCAAAGATTTGAAGGTGACAAATAAACATAGTTTATAATTTCTTAAATTGGAGCGTAAGCCTTGAATGTAAAGAATTCAAGTTTGAGTTAAATGTAATCCTTGTCTCCAGTAGGAGGTTCTGCAACATTTCAAGTGAATGTATCGTATTCCTTTTAGAGTTAAACTAAAAGAACTGCGGATGCTGTAAATCAGGAACAAAAACGTCAGAACTGAGGATCCGAAACGTTAACTCTGTTTTCTCCTCCACAGATGCTGCCAGACCTGCTGAGCTTTTCCAGCAACTTTGTTTTTGTTCCTTTAGAGTTGAGCAATGTCTTTTTTGCAGTTCCAGCTTGTGCTTTATTTGCAAGATATCATTCAGTTATATACACATCAATAAGTGGATGCTGAATCCTGTGTTTAATTAGACTAAGTAAATTTAAGTGCACTAGAAAATTGTAATCAATGGCTATAACTTGAAATTGTAATCAGGTGCAAGAAGATTTACTCATTGTGAAATTGCACTAAATGTAGATCAGATGTCTCTGTCACTCTCTTATGGTTACGTGGGCAACTGAAACTTTCATCACTGTTTGTTTGGATTTTGTTAGTTGAGGGAAGAGCTCACTGTAAACATTTTGTTGTGCATCAGAGATAGTAAGAACTGCAGATGCTGGAGTCAGAGATAACACAGTGTAGAGTTGGAGGAACACAGCCGGCCAGGCAGCATCAGAGGGGCAGGAAAGTTGATGTTTCGGGTTGGGACCCTTCTTCAGAAAATTACTGCCTGTTTTCACTGTGCAGTACCTTTTTTGTTTTAATTCATCTGTGTATATAATATTTAAACCAAAACAAAGCCAGTGTAACTCCTTCCGCACTGCTGCTTAGCAGTAGATACCACAGATTAGAAGGATGTTGCTTGACTGTCAGCCTATGTGGAGCAAAACAGGATAAATGAGTTTGGATTACAGAGCAAACGTGTTACAACTCCTCTCTGGATGAGGGCCCCAATTCATTATGATTCCAAATGATTATGCACACAGGCGAGGAGAAGTGACCTGGTACTCCTTCTCTATTCAGGCCCTCCCCTGGTTGCTTGCAATAAGGTTAATTTTAAATGGATCCCTTTCCTGGTGGGTACCTTTTTTCTTCCTAGCTCAAATTTATTAGTGCTTTAAAATATGTTAATTTAACCAGGCTTTCTTGAATTAAAGAAATAGTGAGGTTATGGGAAATCAAAACACAAAAAACAATAAAACTCAACGCCAGCACACAGATTAGAAATGAGAGGTGATTCTTTTAAAACAAAAAAGGTCCTTGGTTTGCTCATGATGTGTAGATTATGAAACGTTGCAGCCATTAAAGTGGGTGACTCTGGTAGTGCTGATTTTGGGAATTGAGCCTTTTTTTTTAGAGATTCTTGCTTCTGCTGATAGCAAAAAGACATTCCCCCCATTTCTTTCAACAGGTGGCTGTCACCTAATTGCTTTTTAGCAGAAGAGAGTCATTGTTTGTTTCTTAACTGCACTCACATGTCTACTGGAAATTCTTGGCTATGTCTCTTCCCAATACTCTGGTGTGACATCCTGTGATTCCTGTTCGGTCTCATGTAATCCACACAGGGATTACTCAGACAACCACCGAATTCTACACTTTCAACAAACTTGGTTTCTAAGTCCTTTTCAAAAAAAAACAAGCATTGTACTCCAGTTCAGCATATCTATAACTAATTCTGGATTACAATGTCTTGTTATTATACATGATTTAATTTGATATTAGAATAGACTTGAAGGGTTGAGTAGTCAATTGCTTCTATATGATGATCAGGCTTCACGTGAGTAATATTTCAAATTAGAAAGCCTTTGTTTTTAAAAATAATGAATACTTAATTTAAATGTAAAATTAAATAGAGAAAAAATAGCAAGTAATCTAATTTAATTCTTCAATTCTAGACTGTACCCTTGTCTCTATTAATCAAGGCATGGATTTCTTGCTTAAATTGCCCATGTGATTCATCTTTATGTCAGCTTTTTACTGCTACAACTTTTTTTAAGAAGTGAAATTCAAAGTAATATCTGCATATACAGTTTGTGAGGTAGGGATGTAGATTTTTCAAAGCTGTCATCCACCCACCACCATGGTCTGTGTGCTGGCCCCATCACCTGTTCATTTCTGTGGAAGTTGAACTGTTCTATATTCAATGTGCATTTTTATAAAACGCCATTTTAGGCATGATGGCTATGTACGCTGTTTTTATGCTGTGATCATTCTATGATTCGAGTTAATAACACCAACGAGAAAGATGGTTAAACAGTTTCCTGCCTTTATCTTAAATACTTTTTAAAAACACGCTTCCCCTAGTTTCAGTAGATATTAAACATGTGAAGTTGTTAGTTGGTTGTGAACCAGACTACCTACCCCACCCAAAATGGTCCATGGCTATGTAGCAGTAACTACAGGATTAATACATGAATTTCAAACTGTTTATGTTTAACTTTAAAATTCTGCTTGCAAAATTTGATTCCAGAAATTAAGAACCGGCCATCAAATCGCAAGAAGGAGAAACTTCCATTTGAAGTGCTTGAAGAAACTCAACTCGCATCCAATAAGGATCCTGTCATTGAAACCACTCTCTCATCTGATAAAATATCCGATGCCAGAAGCAGACAGACTGATGCGCTGCATAATGAGATTTTAGCTTCATGCTTTGAACCAGTCATTCAAGCAGTGCCAGCCTCAACTGGTGATAAACAAGTTACAGAACTGGAACCCACCTGTAAACAGTCACCTTCTAAAGAAGGCAAGCGAGTACGAATCTTGCAAGAAGTGAATGAGGTACAAGTTTTGTCTGAACGGAGCCACAATGAAGTCTCTAGGCCATCACCATCTCCAAGGTCAGTGCCTCGTTTTCAGCTATTGCCCAGCATTCTGCACTGGCCTATTGCACTCCTTATTTACAGCATGAACTACGCTCTCTGCTTTGTTCTTGGTGTCTTTGGTTTTGTTTTCAGCACTTTCCCTGCTTTCCAAAAATTTCGAGTCTCAAAATTATATAACAAGACTAGAGTTTTTTTAATCAAAAGGAAGACCTAGGTAATGTGCTGTTTTCTTAAAATCCTACCTTGTCTTGCTACAAACCTGCAGTACCATCAGTTTTTGAATGCAAACTGTTTGGCTGGCGTGGTCTGGAACATGCATTTATTCTGTTGGCTATAATTTTGAAAACAAAACTGCTGCAAAGGCAGATTAATTTTATTTCCCATTCCATTTCCTTGTGTATGTGCTTAGTTTTTTTTTGCCTTGTATTCATTTTGAAAATGCGTGAAATGCTATAAATGTGGAAAGGATTGGACTGAAACCAGTGTCATACATAATTGCCTAGTTAATTCACCTTTCTTTGTTCAAATTCACAAATTTTGTTCCGTCTTTAAATACTGCACTTTTCCAGCTCTATGATAAAAGTATAGTGTACATTTTTGGTTAGGACTGATCAATTATATTTTGGCTTATTTTTCAATTTGTCTCCTCCCTTCCCTGGAGACCCTTCACTGTTTAGACTCCCTGCTGATTCCATAACCACTAAACTAGCCAGGTGATTTGTTCCAGTCTTTTGCCAATATAATTCTTGATCTAGCCAGTGGATATGATAACACCAAATGACAGCCTGCGGCAATTGGGAGCTCACAGGAAGAAAGCTGTTTTGCAGGAGTCCGTTCATTGCACTGGTATATTCTCCTTGTACCATCACATATTCTTATTTATGGATTTTGCACTTCAGAATTTGGGGATCATGTATCGTTTAAGGGGGAAATATGATCTTGTAATTTGAAGTTGCTTATCTTAAATTACTAGATAAATGAATTGTTGGAGCGCTTGAAATTTTTTTTTTTTTAATTTCAAATTGCAGGGCATTTTTGTTTGCACAGTACAAAAGCAACTTTAAATTGTCCAGAGTAGACTAGCTTTGCATGCAGTCTGAGCTTGTCTACATCAGTTACATCACTGATATTCAAAGAAAATCTGTGCATTACACACAGTTTCACTATTTTGATTATATTGAGAAGTTTGAATGTATTCTTTCTGCAATTGAAACTTTTCTGAAAACTGTTTTTGTCCTTTTTGTGTCTTTTCTCTTATCTTAAACAACTTTAGATCCGTGCTGTCTCCAACGGGCTAAACTGGCTCTTCACAATATAGATCATCCGATAAAAGACTGCTTCCTCAATTTTTGTTTTGCTCAATAACTAAAACACTGTCTGAATTGCTAGAAATTCTGTAACCTGATGTTTCTCATCTGTACTAGAACTTCAATTCTCAAGAGTCCTCAAAGGATTTTATCCCTCCTACCCAAGCACCCTTGTCTTTTCTGCTCTGCCTTCTCCCACCCCTTCACATTCTTCCCTGTCTAACTCCCCACTCCTTTCGTTTCACCCTTTCCCTCTCTGAATTTGGATCTCTGGTTAAAATTTTGTCTTTTTAAATTTTATCCCACACTGCGCTAAGAAGTTGCATGCAATTTGTAATGGACACTAAATACAACATTTCTGACTTCGTGAGAACATTATCGTGGAAATATTTTGCTCACATTTTGTAGCACATTCTTAAGAAGCAGTTACCAAACATGCTCTGAAGTGCGTACAGCTGCACTGGAAAAATTCTTCCTGTTATTCAGCAATATGCTTTTCCCACTGCCTTGCTGCTAATTATGCTATGAACAGCTTATTGGCACAAATGGGGTTTTGTTAGTTGTATGGACATGGTCTTCCCCAAAACCATTTAACAAACTTTATCTGCCATGTCTTGTTTTATTTCTGTTGAAGTGGTTAGTATTTTGTACCCTAGTACTCTGGGTTATATATATAGAGATATAAAGAATAAAACTATAAAGTTCATTATTGGGAACAGTTGGACAAGTTCTAAAGAGGGAGTATTGCTTCCACATTTAAAGTTTGTAATGAAGTCCAGCAGACTGAAGATACCTGTTCTCAAGCTCTTTGTGTTCAATTAAACTACTCCATATTTCTGTTATGATCATTCTTGGCCAATGTATTTATTAATACTGGTTGCCATTTCTTCATGCTGAATAACAATATTTAGAGATCCATATTTCAAAGGAAAATTACCTGTAGCATTAGCACCACCAAATGGACAACAAATACATTTCTACTGGTCATGGAAGGTTAAGCAGATTTTCTCTCTGTTTAATATTTAAAGACCTATTTATTGCATATTCTGATTTATTTCAGTGGAATGTGATGTATTAGAACCTAGTTGTCATGCAGGTCATAATGGGAATAAATTGAGATTTCAGTCTTTTAGAGAATTTCCTTCAGATTAAGCTGTAATACAACAAAGGTTGTTATTCCTGCCAATAGGGAAACAATATGAAACGCTTTGCATGGCATGTTCAATATTAAGTAAAAGTTGCATAAACAGTATGATTAGTCTGAGTAACAGTTCGTTAGAGCCCAATCACTAGAAGCTACCTGGTTGTCTTTCTAATTGAGTATGGGTTGTGCCTATTAAACAAACAAAATCATGGAAGCATTGATTTTTCTAACTAAGTGAATATGGGTGAAGCATTTTTTTTTTACTGTGGGAGCAAGATTACATGTAATTTTATTTATTCAATAGTCAAGTTTCAAAACTGGCTAAGACTCAGAACATTTGAAATGCTATCCATTCTAAATTCTGCATAATGGTTTGTGCAAATTTTCTTTTGCCAGTTTTTCTCAGTTACTGTAATTTCTAACATTCAAAATATAACTTTTTTAAAAAGGATTGTACAATAGCATGACTAAATTACTTAATTTGGTTCTTAATAACTTTGAATATATTAAATGACTTTTCCCCTGAATGCATCTTTCCCAAAAACCTGAGCTTGGACTTGATAATTTTGTATGATTCTGTTAAATGAAGGGCAGATATTGTTCTCTGAGCATGTAAACTAATGGGCTGATCAAATGTTTCTTGACAGTTTATTTGGATGTTTTTCAAAATTATTTAAAGAAAAACTAGAAAATGAATTTGGAAAACTTTATTGAAATAAAATGTATGCTTTTTCATTTGTTTTAAGTATTTTTGTTTGTGTGAAAACCTGATCAATTGCGCCTTTGCTAACTTTGACTACAATTTGAAACCAAAATGGCTGTATAAACCTCGTAAAGCTGATTAAGCTGTGAGGTGAAGTTGGATGAAGAGAATGAGGAACCTTTTCTTCCTTTTGAGCTATTTTAAAAGTTGACTATAAAGTCTAAATCCAAATCTAGTTGCATCTTGCAAACAAATGCAACCTTTACCTCCCCTCCCCCAGTGCTACCAGACCGAAATATATAGTTCATTCACTAAGCACCAACAGTCAAAGCCTAGAATTCTATTTCTCATGTGTAGCCAAATACCAATTCCCTATGGCCTATACTGCTAAATACCAGAATTCTGTGTTCAGCTGCATCTTTTATATTCTATTATTCCATTTTTAACAAGTTTTGAAACTGTAAAGGGTTAAAGGAACACGAGTATTTTTCTTTTATTTTCATTCTTCAGTTAGTCACTAAACCAGTGGGCTTGATGTTACCCTAGACATGAACATCCTCGATTATAGAAATGTAATTGTTGACCTATCATTAACATCATGGGAGATTCATTTGTGAAATATAATAACCGTAATAATATATAACCATATATTGATTTTGAGGGCTTTCTCTTTTTATAGTTTGTGAAAATCTTTGTTCGAACATTGGCAATAAGTATAAAGGTATAGCTCTCACATTGGAAGAGAGGAATAATGAGAGAACGAAAGGAGGGAGGGTTAGTTAGATATGAGAGAGAGAGCCAATAGATGGAGAAGATACTTGTTGAATAAAATGCAGAGCCTAAAACTGGAGCAAATAGAAGTGAAAAGGCTGAGGAGTGAGAAAGGAGAGTTAAAGAATGGAGTGTGGTATAGGAAGGAAGAAAACCAAGAAAGCCACAGAAGGTAATTGCGGAGCTGGAAGACCATTTGATGACTAGCAAGGAAGCAAATGAAGCAAGTGGTAAAGGGACATGGAGGCAAAATGTAGTGTAAGTGTTGAATGTTTGAGTAGAGTAAGGGAGTCCAGTTTGAGAAAGAATTATAAACTGTTTGTGTCTTTATTCCCCTTATCCATAGCAGTTAGCAAAAGAAATCAATATTGAAGCTTTATGAAATAATTGCATTGTTAGGGATTGTAATGCACCAAAGGTTAGTCTTCTAAAATTAATTATTGGAACGTAGCACAAACTTAATGCTGCGATAGACCTCCCACAGCTGTTTTTAGATAGGAATGTTGATGTAACAGGTGAAAAATTACATTTGTACAGTATTATTTTATGTCAAACCATAGAAAGTACTCCTTAGAACTACTTTATAAACACAATGCCATGAGGGTAGATGAATATTGAAATTTCAGCACAAAACAAGGCATTTGACCCACTTTGCCAGCTTCTTGACGGCGGCATCTGCTCCAATTTCTACATTTTTCCCCAACTGCCACTTTTTTTTCCCTTCAAATAGCTAGGCTCTAAACACCTTTTACCTACCTAAGTACACATTGCACTAAAAAACTTGTTCAATTACAGAGAGCAAAACTCAAATTGTCAACCCACCCATGTGTTATTTAAAAGAAAATCACGTGAATTCTTAATAAATTTGCATTGTGAAATCTTGCCTTTAAGTGGCTGTTGTTCCTGATAGTTAAAACTGGTAAATGGGACTAAATTAATTTAGGGTATCTGGTCAGCATGTACGAGTAGGACTAAAGGGTCTTTTCTGTGCTGTACAACTCTATGACTCTATAATCTCCTCTTTCTGGCTATCATCTATGCCAGAACCATTTATAGATTAATATTGCACCATGTAGATTTTTTTTTTATTGATCAACCTGTTCGGGGACATTATTACATACCTCTGTAATAAACAGGACTGGAACCCTGGTCTCCCAGCAGGGATACATACACTGTACCACACTGTTTATTTTCTAGGATGCCACTTTGTGTTGTTACCACATCCAATAAATGCCCCTCTATTATTTGTATACTTTGTAGCATGCTGATGCATTGTAGCTTTTGCTATAAGAACTTTGACTTCCTGTCATAGTTAGACCACATAACCTGTGTGGCACATCATGCATTTATATAAAAACAAAGTTTCTGGAATAGCTCAGCAGGTCTGGCAGCATCTGTGGAGGAAAAAACAAAGTTAACATTTTGGGTCTGGTGACCCAAACCGTTAAGGGGAAGGGTCACCGGACCCAAAATGTTAACTCTGTTTTTTCCTTCACAGATGCTGCCAGACCTGCTGAGCTTTTCCAGCAACTTTGTTTTTGCTCCTGATTTGCAGCATCCGCAGTTCTTTCAGTTTTTATCATGCATTTATAAACTGATGAAACATTTAGCTTTAATGTTCTTGCATTGTACATGATTTAGCATGCTCATTTACTACTCCAGGTGTATACCTTTTCATAGGGGTGCCAGAATTGAGGGGCTGCAGGCCAAAATGTGGGAGAATGAAACCGTTTGGGTAGGTCTTCCAAAGAACCTGTAAATTCACAGTGGGCTGAATGACCTTCTGTGCTGTAAGTTTTTTTTTATTTTACGATTTGAATTATTTTCTCCCCAAGTTTCTAGTTGAGTGAGACCTACAGTAGAGGTACTACTATAGTTACTGGCAATACTGCTTCCAATAGTTTTGCCACCAGTTTTCCAGGTGACTACAAGTAGATTCTCAAGAACCGTTCCCTAAGTGCAAATGCAGGCCAGGATTTCTAGTTTTGTATACATGTCCTGCCACTGGACTGTTCATGGTTTAATGGCATTACAGTAAGGCATGACACTGGTACAGTTCAATTCTTGTTAATATTAACCCTGTGAATGCTGAGCTAACCATTTTTTACTGTTTTATGGTTGCTGGAGCAAATGCAGGATGAGTGTCCAGAGCAACAGCAAGCTTCAGAATAAAAAATTGGTTTGAAATTTCTTTTTAGTACTCAAAGGACTAATTAGACGTAACCAAAAATGTGTTTTTATTATTGGTTTGGGAGATTTTTTTAAAAGTTTCTACACCTTTAATCTGTAATTTAATCTTCAATTGTAAACTCCATATTTGTGAACTTTTTAAGAACTTTAGTTGTTTAGTTAATTGAAAGTTTGATTTGTAGACTGCTGTAATTTCATGAAAAAAATCTACTTGAAAGACAAGGTTATGTAGTTAAGGTGCATGATTTCAAAATGCTGAGGCACCCATTTGCTTCAACTGAATGTCAATCAGAATACAATAGCGTGTCTGTGTTAAGAGAGGGAGACAGAATCAGTTTATTTTTTAAACTTCCAATAGGGCTATCATTTGAATTGCCTGTTTCAAAAGTTGTGCGTGTCTCTTATCTGAGGAAATGTTATTACTGTTCTACTAAAATCCTCTTTTGCTTTCAGAAGTCATAATGTCCCACGATGGACTATGATTTTTATAATGGATGTCACAGCATTTAAGTTGGTTTGTGCATCACTACAAAAAGTGCCGACACAGATAATGGGGTATAGTGAGTGTATTGTCTCTAGTCGTGTATTGCTACTTTATTGTACTGTTGCCTTTTTTTAATCTCGAGGCCTTTTTCCTTTGTGCAAAACAAATTTGAACTGGTTAGTTTAGCCCAGTAAACTTTGGATATCTATGATACAATATTTCACTGTAAACTACCAGTAATTTTAAGTCTGTAGTCTTATTAGGAAATGTTAATAAAATTTTACACAGATTTACTTTTTAACTATGTTGCTAAATTGTTTACCTAGAGAAGGAGAAACTTTTAACATAATAAAATCCTGTAGTTGTATTTTCAAGGTTGGTCCATTTATATACAGTAGGGATGATATTGAATCAAAAAATAGAAAAGATACAGTACAGTTTCCCTAGAAGGTAACTTGGCTTGAGAATAAAGATACTGAAAAATAGGATCTATTTCAATTGGGGAAGATATTATGGAGTATTTTGAAAGATTTATTTAAAACTGAGGGTGTGGAACTTAATATAAGCGATTTGAGGGGTCTACAGTGAATGAATGTGGATATAAACTGAAATGTAAAAGATTTAAGGCAGCAAGATGGAGAAATTTATTTTTATGTAAAGAGTTAAGAGGAAGTGAAAAAACAGCCTAAGTTGATCATTGAAGCAAGGACCATGTCAATGCTTATCAGTCGGTGTGACCGGTTGAAGGGATATCGGATAAAAGGATTTGGGAACATGACCAGTAATGAGGATGACTGCTTGTGTGGAGAATAAACACCAATTTAGACTAATCAGCCTGTTTTGTGTTGTAATTTCTTCTGCAATTTTGTAATGTCTCACGTCTGTTTAGTGCTTGAATCGTAGGGCTAGGTTACAATCTTGTTCCTAGTTGGAGTATGAAATTACAGCAGATCTGTAAAATAGGATTGTTTTTCTGTATCAGTATACTGTCCCTTGTGTACAGTGATGAATAATTTCTGCAAAGGTTGTCTTTTAAAAGCTTTTGTGTACTGGTTCAGAGATTTATCAAGTGTTTTTTCTAACTTGTCTTTTTTTTTAAATTTATCTCAATCTAAAAATGTTGCAACAATCCCAATGTTGTACAATTTAGTCTCATGTTAGAAATATTTTGAGGCCAAAACTGTATAATAAACTTGTTCCTATTATCTATTTCTGAATTGCTACTAGATAAATCTCTGATTTTTGGCTCCTGTATCATATTTATTCCCATAATATGGAAGATTGTTTGAATACTCTGTCTGTAGGGTATCCAAGACTGATGTGAAGCTAGAAAAGCCAGATGAGGAAGAAATTGTTGAAGCAGAAGAGCTGAAACCGAAGAAAAGAGTTAAGCGTCCAAAGTTGCACCCAGTCATCCACGTGTCATCTCAGCCCACTGTTGAATCTCAGTGTGCCCAACAGTAAACAAAATATTTTTCTGGTGTTGAATACACCAGTGCTGTCTCTATTCAAGATAAAAATCTAGGGGAGTATGTAAGCACACTGTACAATTTAACAAGCCGGCACTTTTTGGAACTTGCAAGACCTTTATGAATTAGGCACTTTCAATTAAACTTAATGTGGTATTGCTGTTGGGAGATGCTAATATGACACATTTGTTTGGTAGCGTGTTGAATTTTGAGTTCAACAGGTGCCTCTCTGTATATAGGACCTTGCATTTCAACTCCCCTAATTGAAAGAATGGAGGAAAAAAAAGGAACGAAAGGAAATACTACTTTTAAAAAAGAAATGACAGATTCTCTTTTGTTGGATAGCATGATTTTGGAAGCAACTTCATAATTGCTAGGTCCCATAAAACTTAAACAGGCCTTTTGAAATGTGATAACCTAATCTTTGCAGCTCTTTTTCTTTGCTGTTAACAACTTCAAATTAGCTACTTTTAAGTTGAATGAGAAATGCATATGCTCCTGCTTTTCTGAAGCTCTAATCTCTTGGTTCCTTTGACAGTGAAGTCTCAAAATACACCTCTGATCTATAACTAACTGTATTGCTCTCCATTAAGTAAGCCACTTCTCTGGCCATAAAAAGATTTTCTTACACTCTTTTAAAAAAAATGTAATTCTCATCTGTTAGCTCCACTTTACTACAGATTCACATGTTAAAAGAATGTACAGACATCCATTTTCCAGTCACTCTACATATTTCTGTTGGGTGTTAGGATGTACAACCAAGTGTAGTATGGACCACTATGTAATGTCTATCGCATTTATTGGAAACTTTTGGTGTACAAAGCCAAGATATTCAAGAAATTATGCAAAAGTGCAGTAACTTTTTTGGGGTAGGGGTAGGGTGGTGTTGTACTCAAAGCACATATGAACCAAGATTCCAACCAAACCCGTGACCCCCACCCCCAATAACAGCAAAACTCTATTTTCCTAGAATATCATGCGAAACTGCACAATCAGATTTGGTACTTTTTCCTTTCAGAACTGGGAAAATAATACATTTTTCAGGATTAGCATTATGACCTTGGCTCAAGCTTGAACCTGGAACTGATCTGTGTATTCATCCTGATGATCAGATGGGGTAGTAAAGAAAAAGAGTTGGTAGCCTATTTGGTATCTTGTGTTTTTACTTTATTTTAATAACAATATTGCAGAGTGCCTAGATTGAACTTGTTCTGTGGCTTTTAAAAAAGGTATTGTGTAGATAACTTATAACATTTGTGATCACTTTTCAGTTTTAGTACTGTTGTGCATCATTCAGAAGTAATGTAATTATTTGCCTATTATCTGTTGCTCGCCTGAGCAAGTAACAACTTCCTGGACTGTAAAATCATCTTGGTTGTTGAGCACAAACAGATAACAGCTCTGGGTTTGCAAACAGTTTGACATCCTTTAGAAATGTAAATTAAAATTTTGTGACCTTTTGTTTGCCCTTGCATTATCCATTGCCTCAAGAAGTTTGAATTTTTGTCTTTGCTCTTGTTTTTGGTCCCCATGACCTTGTAGTTTAAACTATCATTTGAGGTTTGTATATTGATGGCTGATCCATGTATTTTAATCAGTATAAGCATTGAAATAAAATTTTGAATTCTGATCCCATTTTATTCTTCCGATTTTTATGAGGGTCTTGGCTAACATTCTTTTGTCTTTACATTAAACAAATTGAGAGAAAAACAGTTTATTTTTGAAACAGTCTTTATTCCTTTTGTACCAGATGCCTTTATACCTGTGCAAACTGCACTTTCTAGTTATTCTTGACTTAGAAGGGATAGATCAGAATACTTTCAATGATGGTATGAAGTTAAATACAGTGGACGTCTGCAGAAACTTGGTGGTTCAATTGCCTCAATCTTTAAAATGTCACGAACAGGTACAAAAATAAGCAAGAAAGCTAATGGAATTCTGGTCTGTATATCTGGACTGGAGTTATGCTGCAGCATACAAAACCCTGGTTAGACCCCGCTTGGAGTACTCCAAGTAGATCTGTGCACCACGCCTTAGGAAGGACAAATCTTGGAGGGAGTACAACGTAGGTTTACAAAAATGATTTACCTGGACTTAAGGGATTAAGTTACAAAGTGAGGTACATAAATTAGGCCTGTTTTCTCTAGAGTTTAGAAGGTTAAGGGGTGATCTGATCAAAAGCTTCAAGATATTAACAGGAAAAGACAGGGTATTTAAAGATAAACTATTTTTTCACTGGTTGGGGATTCTAGAACTAGGAGCGTAGTTGGAGAATTAGGGCCAGACCACTCAGGAGAGATGTTGGGAGCACTTCCGCACACATGGATGGTAGATGCTTGGAACTTTCAAATGGCAATGGATGCAGGAACAGTTGTTAATGCTGAATCTGAGATAGAAAAAGTTTTGTTATTGGTGGTGTTAAAGGATATGGGCCAAAGGCAAGTAAATGGAGAAAGACCACAGATCAGCCATGATCTTATTGAATGGCAGGAAAGGCTTAAGGGGCTAAATGGCCTACTCCTGTTCTTACATAGCACACATACCCATGCATGTATTTAAAAAATAAAATTTATGGACCTGGTAATTATCTCCAGTACAAGAAAATACTGTTTTTGTTTTCGCTTTCACAAATACCGGATTCATCTGATGTCCATCTAAAACTGAACTATTTACTGCCACTATAAACAAGCAGCCCCTAAATTTGGGTTGTACTAGATGTAACCATTTACGGCTGGAAGATGCGTGTTGAGGATTTTGGGTCTACATTGACAGTGACGATGGAAATTTGAAGTTACACATGTAGCACTAAAATATATTTGCTAATCTGCTAAATATGCTTAGTGATTAGGTAAAATACTGCAGGTGCTGGAAATCTAAAATGAAAATGGAAATGCTGGGAAAACTCAGGTCAAACAGAATCTGAAGAGAGAAAAGACTGATATTTCAAGTCCTGGATCTTGCGTCAAAATTCAACATATGGTGATGTGTGGGTTGTTTGTGGAAGTTGTACTCTGTGGATAAACCCACTTGATTTGAGTGGAGATGCTACGAACATCTGCTATCTGCAGATTGTGTGTGCTCGTGTGCAAGCACAATACCCGTCCCCCCTGCCCCATTCCCTCAGGTTACCCTCCCAAGCCTCAGTGAAACACCAAATGTATTTAATTTCCGTGGCAACTTGGTCTCTTGGGATGCTTGTAAATTCCGGCAGTGGCCACTGCAACCAGCAGTGCTGGCAATCAAATTAGCTGCCGTCTCGGGTGGTATTTCAGGGTTATAAGTTGTACCTGTAGCCTATTAATCCATAAAGCATCAAATGGTGGGAAACTGCTATCAAAAAAAAATCTAGTCCATTGGTTTTCAAACGTTCCAGATTAGAAAGACCTTGTGCTAGTTTTTGGAAATGCTACAATATTTTTAGTATTTTAATATTGGTGTTTGTCTCTGCAACAATTTAGTGGTGAAGAATCAAAGATAATTTTGGAAAATAATTTGTTATTTTTTGGTTGGGGGTGGGGAGGGGTGTGGAAAGAACAAATTCCTATACCATCATGGGCAACAAACAAGAGAAAGAATTTATATAATACATTGGTCATGTAAAATTGAAAAGCAAACAGCATCTCCAGGTGCTGTTGTATTCTTTATACAAAATACTGGGGAAGCTTGGTAGTAATACCACTTGCATAGTGCCCCTGCATTCATGAGAACAAAATGAAATGCAAAGACCATTACCAAATTTTAAACTATTTTAAGTAATCATTGTCTTCAAAATATAAAATGACATTCTAAAACAAAGAACTGGAGATCTGAAACCAACAAAAACAGAAATTGTTGGAGAAATTCTGCATCTGTGAATAGAAAAGAGTTAACATTGGGCGGCATGGTGGTTCAGTGGTTAGCACTGATGCCTCACTGTGCCATGGACCCTGGGTTCAATTCTACCCTTGGGCGACTGTCTGTGGAGTTTGCACATTCTCATGGGTCCGTGTGGGTTTCCTCCGGGTGCTCCAGTTTCCTCTTGCAGTCCAAGGATATGCAGGCTAGGTGGATTGGCTATACTAAATTACCCATTGTGTTCAGGGATGTGTAGATTAGGTGAGTTATAGGGGGATGGGCCTGGGTGGGATGCTCTGCGAGTTGGTGTGGATTTGTTGGGCCAAAGGGCCTGATTCCACACTGTAGGGATTGTCTGATCTATGATAATGAGTTTGAGTCCAGTGACCCCCCTTCAGAACTGAAGCTGTAGGAAAAATGTGGTATCTATGCTGATATGCGTGGTGGGGATGGATAGGAGGAGCAGGAGCCCAGAGAAAAAAGTAGGGGTGGGAAATCTGGATAGGTAGCCAAAGGCCAGACACTAGGAGCAAAAGCAGAGGTAATGATGGTGAATAAGGAAAGATTAAACTGGAAATCCTGTTGGAGAGAGGAATAGAACTTCTACAAAATGGTCATACCTGGAAATAATGAGGTAGTGATTTAAACATTTAAAGATGCTGAAAATTTGAAAAACAAAAGCAAGATGCTGAAGAAACTCAGCAGGTCTGGCAGCATCTGTGGGGGGAAAAAAAAAATTAATGTTTCAAGTTCAGAACCTTTGGAACTAATTTTATTCTGCTGGGCTGCAGGTGAAAGGTCAGAGTATCTAATTTTGATGCCAGCCTTTATCCAGTTTATCCTATTTGATCAGTTACTCAGCGAAAGATCTTCGTTCATGTCAATCAGGTATTGAGGAAAATTTAACTCCTGAGTTTCAAACATTGACCACTAGATGGTACAAGAGTCTTGCTGGACTGTGGTAGAAGCATTTCATAGAATCCCTACAGTGTGGAAACCGGCCCCTTGGCCTAACAAGTCCACACCGACCCTCCGAGCACTCACCCAAACTGATCCTCCTATAACCCATCTAATCTACACATCCCTGAACACTATGGGCAATTTAGCATAGCCAATCCACCTAACCTGCACATCTTTGGACTGTGGGAGGTAACCGGAGCACCTGGAGGAAACCCACGCAGACGTGGGGAGAATGTGCAAACTCCACACAGTCACCCGAGGATGGAATTGAACCTGGGTCCCTGGCGCTGTGAGGAAGCAGTGCCAACCACCGTGCCACCTAAAATCAGTGGACGTGTTTAACAACACAGCTAACGAAGCTAAATTTGGGGATTTTGGTTTGTGATCCAAGTGTGGACGTCCATTCAGGGCAGCACTGAGCTTGGCAGGCTGGCACCATTTACTTGGTATCATTTCAACAACAAACCCTTATACTGTGGACGATGATCTAGGAGAAATCACTTCAAATAGAGAGGTGAACTATGCTACACATTTCAACTACAGAATAAATCCTCACACTGTTAAACTGGTTGTATATTCCATCATTAATTGTGTTAGATTTCTGTTTATAGGGTTTTTCTTTTAAAAATGTACTTTCTAGTAATGTTCTGGAAGTTACTGCTTAATGAACTTAGAATATTGATTTTCCAAATGTTAATTTCCTGGTCAATGCCAACATTCATCAAGGATACAAAGCAACCACCTCTTTAGTGAAATATTTGTGGAGATAGGAGAATAAACATTGCCTGAACACAGATTGATCCAACTGGTTAAGGCAATGTTTTGCCATCCAGTATTTCCAGGGCATGACACAACAGTGAACAAGTGAAGGATGCAAGGACTTACTGGAACTAGTGAATTCATTCATAAGTCATGAGATTTCCGTCATTGCCCAGAACACAAAGACCCCATTTATAGAGTTGCACAGCAGGACTGTATCCTGTTCTTGGCATGTCATTGCTTTTAAGGTATTTTTGTGGTATCTTACTAGTTTAATTCAGCATCAGTTCCAATGTGCCAAGTAATATTTATCATAAAGTTGACCTCTTTTGCCATTGCACATGTTTGACCATGTGTTTTAGCAATCAGTGATCCTTTAGTGAGTGTGTTAAATAAATCCTTCATTTTGTTTCCAGTGCGCTGAATATTTTGTATGCAGTACTCTATTTAAGTTTATTGTTAGGAATCCAATTGCCACCTGCAATTTAAGAGGTGTTCCACATGGTTTGCCAGGTGCATTTTGGTTTGTTTCTAGTGTTCAGTGCCATCTCTATCTGCTCTAAGGTAGCTAGCTCACTTGAACATTATCACTGCTCAAGTGCAGCTGGTAATCCAATGTGTACTTCACACTCATGATTCATTCTTCAATGATGCTCCATTCTCTTCCAGGCCTCTTCCCAGTGAAATTAAACCAGAAAGTCTACCACCTTGCAGCACTAGTCAGGTGGTGTCAGAGCCGGATAAATGTTAGCAGTTTTACTTGCCCTCTTTCTGTGGGGTATAATGAATAGATTGATTGTTTTTTGTAAATTTCTCCATTTTTTTGACCTTTATAATAGTTCTAATCTTTTTCATGTACTCACAACTGAGGTGACTTCAAAACAAGATAAGCAAGGTTTTTTAAAGGTGTGAATTTACGAATTAAGAGAAGTAGGCCATTTAGCCTGTCAAACCTGCTCCACCATTCATTGAGATCATTGTTGATCTATTTCAAACTTCTCAATCCCATCTTCTCCAAATTAGTCTTTTGATTCCATTGTTTTAGAAACAGCTACCTATCT